ACACTTATGCCGGGTGCGATGGCTCACGCCTGTAATCCCAACACTTTGGGAGGCCGAGGCAGGAGGATCACTTGAGGTCAGGAGTTCAAGACCAGTCTGGCCAACATGGTGAAATCCCGTGTCTACCACAAAATACAAAAATTAGCCAGGCATGGTGGCGCACGCCTGTAATCCCAACTACTCGGGAGGCTGAGGCAGGAGTATTGCTTTAACCTGGGAGGTGGAGGTTGTAGTGAGTTGAGATTGCGCCACTGCACTCCCACCTGGGTGACAGAGCGAGACTCCATCTCAAAAAAAAACAAAAACAAAAGCAAAAAAAGAAATACCTTAAGTTACTCCGTGCCAGTCACCATTCTAAGTGGTCTATTTACATTCATTTATTTATCCTCACAACCACCCTATGAACCTACAAAGTGGTTGTCATTATTATCTCCATTTTACATATGAGGAAACTGAGGCACAGAACAATAAAAGAATCTACCTAAGTAAAGAATGGAGCTAGGATTGAAAACTAAGCAATGTGTTAGGCTGGGCGCGGTGGCTAACACCTGAAATCCCAGCACTTTGGGAGGCTGAGGCAGGCAGATCACCAGAAGTCTGGAGTTCTATTGTGGGAACTGGCCAGCAATCCGCAATGCAGCGGGGCTCTCTCTTTGCTCTCAGGCAGATTGGCAGGTCGAGAAATAATAGACACACACAAGATAGTGAAAGCTGGGTCCAGGGAGGGTCACCGCCTTCTGGTCCCGCGGTGCCAACAATACACTGGATATGCCAGCAGTTATTATTAAGCTTAGTGAGGGCAGGGGTAGGTTAGTGAGGGATTTAGGGTCATTTGATTATGAGGTGAGATGGTCACATGGGGATGAAGTAATTCTTTAACATAACATCCGTATGCAGAAGTACAGTATACAGAGACAAGAATTTACAATATAGTGTGTGCATCAGTCATTTCTAACAGAGCCTTAAAACAGGAACAGCAGTAACAGTTGCAGCAAAAGTTGGTTACAAACAATTCATAGAAATAGGACTTGATGTTTGATTTCTAACAGAACCTTGAAACAGGAACATAGTCTTTCCATCACCATGATTAGCAAAATATTAATCAGCAGTAACAGTTGCAGCAAAAGCTGGTTACAAACAATTCATAGAAACAGGACATGAAGTTAGACAACTGGTTAGAGCGGAATTTCTCAGAAGGGAGTACGCCTTAACCCTAAAGAGGCCTAGAAGAGCCGCGGCAAGATGAGGGCGTTTATAGCCCTATCTCATCCATATGGACGGGCGCCCCCCATGCATCCGTTTATAGACTTTCCACAAGGGTCGCATTCCATTCCCAGAGCTATGAACATCTGCTTTT